ACGAGGCGCTTATAATTACTCTGCAGTATTACAGGAGAATGCTGTAACAGCAAATATCAGAAGGTATTGTCTCTTGGTATATTTTTTTTATGTAATTAGAATAGCAAACAAACTGACGGCCGGCCTGATGGTAACTGTCGCCTATAAACATATACAGTACTATGGAAATCATGTATAGAACGGCCGCGACACCACTTATGCTATTTTACACTATTTGCTATTTTAGAGGAGCCACTCTGTAATCTTCTGCTCCAGGATTATTATTTAAAAGAGCAACACATAAGTTTCTTGGTCGTTCTTTTTGTGATGAAACAACTTACCGAATGAGCGGTAGATTAAAAAAATTGTTATGACTATTCAAAAGTTTTTTCTATTCTATTCTATATTCTGCCCTGTAATTTTACTACCTTCATCAAATCAAATCAAAATATCTATAATATGACAATAGACCTACTATTACAGACTCTTACGATATATCAATACTACTGTAGTAATTTAGACCTAAGAAGAAATGTCAAGAAAATCAGCTCTTATACTTTTCAAATGAGTTTGTAAATCACAAAAATTAAGATTCATTTTTAAATTCAATTAGGGCTACCAATATTAGGACTACCAGTATATGATATTTTATATTATATACCTACATTTTTTTTAATGGACTGCCCACATAAATCTCTTTTTGCCCAATGGTTGACTGGGAGAAAATACCTTAAGATGTTAAGTCCCTCATATGCATCTATATTTGTGTATTTGTACATTAGTTTTAATAAATAAATATGCTATATTACATTTAAGTCAAAAATATCTACTGAATTATTTTTTAAATAATACATTTTTCACTAAGTATCCTGAGTTGTAGCCAACTCATGCCTAAATGAAATATCTCCTTTGGAAAGTACACACTCTATCCTGAGGAGATAAAAACTATCGCTCCTAATGTGTGAATTGTCCAGGTGTATTGTTAAAATTATAATAATAATTATTATTGATTTATTTGCATGCTACATTGTACAGTTTCGGTATTACTAACTAATAAAAGTACATGCAGCACCACGTAGGGGTATGCAAATATTTATGAAATCATAATTAATTTAATATAAACTTATTTAGTCACATTTATAAATATAACTATCCTACAAACAACCACAAATACATGAAATTATTAATTAATTAATGTCAGTTACTAATAACAATTTATATAATACTAGCAGACCCGTCCACGCGTTGCTGTGACTAAGGTTCTAGAATAAAATCATGTTGCGATTATAAATTGAGATGTAAGCTATCCTATCTTTTAAGTTAGATCAAATTGCACACAATGATCTCTCTGGCGGTATCGAACCACTTAGCTTGAGGCGAGACTTCGCTTCGCTTTGCGTTTTCTACCGAAAATACAATGGTCTGTGTTCTGAAGAAATATTCAATATGATGCCCACAGTTACCTTTTACCATCGCACCGCTCGCCATCGACAGGGAATTCATCCCCACACGCTAGAACCTAAGTGATCTCGGACAGTGCGGTTTCAGAGGAGCTTCCTCCGGCGTACATTTAGATTGTGGAATGAACTACCTGCCGAGGTTTTCTCACGAGACTACAGCATAGGGTTTTTTAAGAAGGGTATATTAAGGTTTCTTAAGGGTCGGCAATGCGCACGCAACACCCCTGCTGTTTCAGACGTTTCATAGGCTACGGTAACTTTACCATCAGATGGGCAGTATGCCTGTTTACCACCATAGTTGTATAGAAAAATGTGCAAATCAAGTTTGCAATCGGTTCAGTAGTTTAATAGTCCATCGCGGACAAACAACGCGACACGTAATTTTTATATATAAACACTAGATGTCCCGGCAAACGTTGTTTTGCCTTAAAATAAAAAAAAAATTTTGGGTTGGACTACCCGTAACATTTAGGGGTATGAAAAATAGATGTTGGCCGATTCTCAGACCTACTCAATACGCTCACAAAATTTCATGAGAATCGGTCAAGCCGTTTCGGAGTATGGGAACGAAAACTGTGACACTAGAATTTTATATATAAGATAATGTCATCCATTTTGCCGGTCACTGAGTAAAAACACTTAAAAGCCAGGTATAAGCTTGGCTTTTAAGTTAGCGAGGCCTTATATAATACGTTGCGATTTATACAGCCTTTTCGTCCCTCTGTGAAATAGATAAAATATTTTTTATAGCCAGCAATAATATAAATTTAATAAAGTGACAAGAGTAATTCGGGTAGGCTTTATAGCGCATCTGCCAACTTTGGCGCTTTGCCAACGTTCCTTGGCACCTATACACTTGCCAAATGACAACCAAGTATAGTGTTACGACGGTTGTATCGTACCTACATATTTTGACGGATTCGGCAATCTAACGCTTTAGCACACCGCCTTACTTCCGATGGTCGCGGGTTCGATTCCTCGCACGGGACAAACATTCGTATTTATGATGTATGATTGTTTGTGTCGGACTGGGAGTTTTATATGTATGTATATACGAAAAAAATATCTATGTATTTGTATCAGTTATCTAGTACACATAATACAAGCTTTAGCTAGCTTAACTTGGGTCTAGATGGCGCTGTGTGAACTGTACTGAGATTATTATTATTAAATTGAGTTTATATGAATAAAGAATTTTCTATTCTAATCTATTAAGTCTATATCGTGGTAGGAAACAACTGAGTAACGACTCTCACAATCTGATATATAAAATTCCCTTGTCACAGATTTCGTGTTTATACTCCTCCAAAACGGTTTGACCGATTTTTATGAAATTTTATATATTCAGTAAGTTTGAGAAACGGATACTATTTATTTTTCATACCCCTACCCCTATATAAAGTGATAAGGGTTGTCCAACCCTAACATTTTATTTTTATGTTTGGATTTTCTATTATTATATTTTTTTTATAATGTGACATTAAAAAATACATACAACTCTAAATTTTCATCCCTCTACCATCAACCCCTATTTTTTAAAAGCGACATTAGACATTTTATATCGCAAACCAACGTTTGCCGGGACAGCTAGTGGCAATATAAAATTAATTGAACAAATGTAATACACACTTTAAGTAATCAAGGAATCTATAAATAGAACCCTGACAATAGTCGCTAAGTGATTTCGATCGTTAAAACGGTATGACGACTGTGGGAAAGAGAGAGAATCCTGGTTTATTAATATTTAGATACTTCAGCCTACAATTTTCTAAACCAATTAAGAACAAATTGAATTAAAATGTTCATCTCAAATTAGGGACTTGCGATAATTATTATATTGTTGTTCCTAACTGTTTCCAATAAAGTAGGTTTTTGATCTGATTCAATTAGATTTTTGTAGGTGTATGTGTTCAGGTCAAAAGCGCCTGATATTTTTTAATAGCACCGAGTAGTCGCATTGCATACATGCTTGTTTTTTGTATACTGCATCATTTTTATTTTTTTCTTATGTATAAACCAGCTACTCGCCCCGGCTTCGCCCGGGTTTACATGTATTATACATATAAACCTTCCTCTCGAATCACTCTACCTATTACAAAAAACCACTTCAAAATCCGTTGCGTAGTATCTTTAAAACCGTGCGAAGCCGGGACGAGTAGCTGGTAAAATATAATTGAAAGCGATTTTATAATTTCCGATTGAAAACGATCGTATTCATTTGTTCACTTATAAACTACTCAAGTACTACTAACTTAAGTACTAAAGTACTACTAATTTGTTTTGAAAAGTATAAGGCCAAAATTTTTTTATTTTATAGTCTCCTTATTATACTTTAGCCACATGGAATTTACCAAATCCATCTGATGAAAAAAAAAATCCGGTCGGAAAGGGTTAGCAGGTACAGACAAGAATCTTTGAAATGTTCACTGTAATATATGCCCCAAACGTATATAAACGTAAGTGATAACATTCTTTACCAGTTGCCACCTTTAAATTTTCTTATAACCTCCTTACGAGTATGTACGTCCGTCACTTTGTGCTATATTGCAAATTTCTCCTTCATGGGAAGCGGGAAATTAACTGGCATTCGGGAAACGCGAAACGACACATGTCACTGTTGCACGCTATTGAAATATGAACTTTAATGTTAACAACTCACAATGTATTGTCTCGTGAAGTTGCACAGGTAGTCATTTGAGTGGGTTGTGCGAGGTATGCTTTGTTTGCTAGCACTGAAAAAGGCTTGATGAAGAAAACAGGAAAGTGTCTTATATATACAGGAGAAGTGTATGTTATATACTTTTTATAATGAAACATCATGTCATATTGTATATTAAAATTTTTTGCAAACATTTTCAATTCATTCAAAGACATTTTCTACGTATAATAGATATATGGGTACATATAGGTAAATAATAACCTATATCTAAATATATATAACTCAAAGGTGACTGACATAGTGATCTATCAACGCACAGCCAAAACCACTGGACGGATTGGGCTGAAATTTGGCATGCAGGTAGATGTTATGACGTAGGCATCCCTTAAGAAAGGATTTTGATAAATTCCACCCCTAGGGGGATAAATTAACGCGAGCGAAGCCACGGGCAAAAGCTAGTGTACTCATATACCTGTTATATGTATTGCAATTATTATCTATCTATCTATATTACTCGATATGTAAGATATGTCATAAAATCTGAATTTAAGGATTTTTATTATTAATGATTTCCACTTATGTATTGTACTATAATAATATTATGAACAATTGCTTGAACTATAAACTGAACTAATTATACTAAGAATCATTACCATATATACCATACCTCCTGAGAGGTCCCTGGATTTGAATTCTATACTATCGTTATATAGCCTGTAATAATGCTTCCAAAATAACGTTGAATCCAAAAAACTTTATTTTTGACATGAGTTTTTTATAGATAATAATGGAATTATGCATCCGCCTACGCTAACGGTTTAAGCTGGCGGGGCACCAGTGAAGGATGATAAAATGAGCACGAAGTTTAGTTAGCACATCTTGGTAAATGGCAATTTACCACCATGGTTTCCAGAGGACACCGGGTTAATGTTAATGGTTATTAGTCCACATTTCTAACAGCCCCCTCCAACTTCCCCCTGAATACTGGTGTTAATATTACAAATTACGTCACGAAACTGTACCTAGATATTGTCTTTATAATAAATAGCCTCCTTTAAAGATAGGAAAGGAAGGGTCAAAGGGCACTCAGGTAAAATGTAAACTTAGCACATTTCATTATGATGTTTACAGGCCTAACTAAAATCACGTAACCATTAGCAAGGTACCGTAAGATACACGAAGTGCCTACCTGAAACCTGTCCGCAATTACGCAAAAACTCAAATTAAATTTTGTTAATTAAGGCGTTGTCACAATTAGACATTTCGAAGAACACAAATTTTTATATTGATGTTTTATATGTAGGAAATAACATCTACCTACTTCCTAAAATATCTTACGAATACGGATACTCATAACTCGTCCGTTACGTAAAGCCAAGCCTCCGCAACTCTACTTAATGAATTGCCCGGCCAAGAAATGCCGTTAGCGCAGGCGGAACTACGATTCTATGGTCAACTACTATAGAATCGTAGTTCCGCCAAGTTAGCCTTATTAAGGCTAACTCACGCAATAAACAATAGCGTTGGAATACGCGTCAAACTCCTGCTATGTATCTCATGTAACCACAACGAAGAAAGTACAGTGAAAGCCCATAATAAAAGTGCATTTTAAAGTTAATAAGTCGTACTCACAAAGACAATTAGGTAGCACATTATTTTTTTTTTTTTATTTTAGCAATAAGTTAAAATTTAAACAAAAAACTTCACTATAATTGTGAAACTTGTGGGAAACAAGATCAGCGTCATATTGTATTAGAATATGTTCGTAATGTATCTAAAATATGTAATATAACTATAAATCATTCGAGCTCTGAAATTAAATATGTCAGATATAGGTCTATTCCATGGTATATTAGCTAAGCCAGCTTCGAATCTAGCTAAGGGCTTGAATTGTTATCGTATTAATTTATGTTGATTGTTCTTCTTTTTGTCATTTAGTATAGGAACGTCACATTTAGTGAACAAAACAAAAAAAAATAATAAGAAAAGATAGGACACTTGTTAGTATTTAATATATTTAATAAATATAATAATTGAGTTTCTAGTCAGTTCTTCTCAGCTCGAAATCATTCCGAACTGACGGTAGATTGGACATTCATAAGAGTCTGTAATAGACCTACATGAATAAAGATATTTTGAATTTGAATTTGTATCTATCACTCACACCGGAAATAATAATATAAAGTTTGATATTATATTTGAATTTAGAAGTCACACGCTAATATTAATTACTATAATTTTAGAACAACAACAAAACTCATCAGTCGAAAATTACATCGGCGACATTTTGACAGATGTTTACGCGGCAAAACGCGCTGCCGACCTGACGGTGTTGCCACACCAGATTATAATTTTAGTCACATTTTAAAATATTTAAAATGGCCTACTAAAACGACAAAAATATGAATTTTAAATATTAGTTAGCTGCAACTTCGTCTACTTTACACTTACATGATATTTATCATTATATTTCGCCCAATTTTCGTAATATATTTTTAAATTATAGCCTATGTATTGTTATTGTAAATTTTCATCGAAATCCGTTCAGTAGTTTTTGCATGAAAGAGTAACAAACATCCATCCATGTTTCATAATCATAAACTTTCGCGGTTATAATATTAATAATAAGTAATTAATTGACACATTGTTTTAATCGGATCTCGAACATTCTATAAGTTTGTCTATATACCAACCCTATCTTCCTATCAAATGATAACGAAATTATATATCTACTAATCATATACTTATACCTACCTTCTTAAGCACAAATAATGAATGACATTGCAAATTTACAACTTTGCAATATCATTATTATTATTATATTTTTTTATAATACCTAATCGTTATCTATGAATTTAATGCATTTAGATTGTTAGGTATATATTTAATTATACTATTAATTTTTAGAACAAATAAAATAATGTTCCAAATTTAAAAACACCATTTAAGAATATTAACGATATTTGAGAATTTAATGCATTTAGATTGTTACGTATATATTTCATTTTATACAATTATTTAATATAATTTAGATGAAATAAAATAATATTCCGAATTTAAAATTAAAATTTAAAAATAATATCGCTATCTGTGAATTTAATGCATTTAGATTGTTAGGTATATATTTAATGATACAATTATTTACTATAATTTAGAACAAATAAATAATGTACCGTATTTAAAAATAAAATTTAAAAATATTGTCGTTATCTGTTAATAGATTGATAGGTTTTCATTATTCAATTACCTACTATAATTTAGTATAAATAAAATAATGTTCCACATTTAAAAAAAAAACAATTTAATAATAATAATATCCTTAGACAATTCACTCAGCGCCATCTAGTCCCAAGCCAAGCAGTGCTTGTATTATGGCCACTAGACAACTGACAGAGATATTTACATTTTTTTGTAAATACATACATAATAGACAAGTAATCAGACCGATACAAACATTTTACACTCTAATACAATTGCACCGTGCGAGGAATCGAACTAACAAGGTCGTCAACTCTCAGCTCATTTGCTAACCCAGTTTTATGAAAAAGGAAGTTAAATGAAGGCACATAAAACGAAAACTGCCTACCCACTATAGGTGGGTGCAGCGGTTTCCGATCCATCCGCTCCCCACGCTAAAGCCCACTTCTAAACATGAACTGGTTCATAGTATTTTGCTAACTTTTACTTGGAACAGCCTGTACGCCGCTGTATTTATAGTTCCGTAGTTTAAAGTTACAAACTAACACCTTATCGCAACTTCCATTTAACTAGATCGGTGTTCTCATTAGGTTTCACGAGCAGCTAATCTAATATCAAGCATATATAGTGTACTTGTTAGAGTAGAATAGAACAGAATAGATATTAAATAAGCCATATCTCCGATGTATGTATCACTTCACTACATAGTATAAAATAAAGTCGCTGTCGCTGTCTGTCCGTCCCTATGTATGCTTAAATCTTTTAAACTACGCTACGGATTTTGAAGCGGTTTTTTTAATAGATAGAGTGATTCTAGAGGAAGTTTATATGTATATAATACATGTACACCCGTGAGAAGCCGGAGCGAGTAGCTAGTCATTACATAGTATAAAATAATGTCGCTGTCGCTGTCTGTCCGTCCCTATGTATGCTTAAATCTTTAAAACTGCGCAACGGAATTTGAAGCGGTGTTTTTAATAGATAGAGTGATTCTAGAGGAAGCTTTATATATATAATACATGCATAATAATGTAGAGAAACACTGATAAATTTAGACGTTTCTAATGTGACGTCGTAAACAAACAGGTGCCGGGTGAACCCACCGGCAACCGCTAGTCTTACGTGTAATAATAATAATAATAATCATCATCATTTCAAGACAAAAGACAAGTATGACAGACATATAGAAGTTTTTTTATAATTATAATACACTGTATAAATTTCTTCCTTTATATAAATGAAATGAAATGATATTTATTCAGTAGAAGAAAAACTAAAACACACATTAAAAAAAAAAAAAAGAAATAACAAAAAATGCGACAATTATAAAAATTAAATCTTTAAATAAAGTACACGAACTATATAATAGATGGCGCTGTATCATAAGTATATACGCGCTATGATTTTTTTGTAACTCGTCAAGGTGTAATGATTTTTATATCAACAAAATCCACTGCGATCGATCCCATCAAATCCCTCGTCGGACTGTATCCCTAAATGTAATTACACCTGCCCAAGATAAATAAACATATGTCAGATAAAATTAATATAAAAATATATTCAAAATTTAAAGTTATACTTATGGATACTAGACAACTGATAAAAGGACTTACTTACATTCTTTTTGTAAATTTTATACATACGTAATATACGCAAATAAGAGATATTATCTATTTAAGGATGTCTATCTTCTAAATATATATATATATAATATAACTCAAAGGTGACTGACTGACATAGTGATCTATCAACGAACAGCCCAAACCACTGGACGGATCGGGCTGAAATTTGGCATGCAGGTAGATGTTATGACATAGGCATCCGCTAAGAAAGGATTTTGATTAATTCTATCCCCAAGGGGATAAAATAGGGGATGAAAGTTTGTATGAAACTTTGTCAATTTTAAACCGATCGGGCTGATACTTTACATGCATAAAGCTACTATAACGTAGGCATCCCCTAAGAAGGGTTTTGATAAATTCCACCCTTGAGGGGATAAAATAGGGGATGAAAGTTTGTATAAATCTTCTTAGATTTTCGACTGATTGAACACATCACATGTCACAGAGTTGCCATACTTTCGAAATGGGTTAACCGATTTTTGTTTTAAATTAGGATAAATATTTATTTTTCTTTTAGGATTAAAAACATATATAACCTTCAATTGTCACCCTTTTTCGCTTAACCCCTATTTTTTAAAAACGATATTAATTTATATGGCAATACAACGTTTGCCGGGTCAGCTAGTGTACATATAAATATATTACAATTGACAATAAACAGTAAAACCCATCGGAATCCCGGGGGAAATTTAGGCATTTCAGTTTTGGTACCGCAACGAATTTAATCATAATGAATGTTTAGAATATATAATAGGGGGTTTATACCTATGTAAATTAGAAGGAATGAACGCAGCCTAAACGAAATTTGTAGTCATAATGGTGTAGCAGTGTAGTTGTCTGCCTCACCTAACTGTTGCAGGTTCAATCCTAGTACAATACAAATAATTGTATTCATAAATATAATAATAATAATCTCAGGACAATTCACACAGCGCCATCTAGACCCAAGTTAAGCTAGCTAAAGCTTGTGTTATGGGTACTAGATAACTGATACAAATACATAGATAATTTTTTTCGTAAATACATAGATATTATACATAGAAAATACCCAGACCGAAACAATCATACTCATGAATACATGTTTGTGTCGTGCGAGGAATTGAACCCGCGACCATCGGGCGTAAAGCAGTGTGCTAGACCGCTATACCACCGAGGTCGTCAATATGCCTGTTTCCTAAAAAATTCTGTTTGTGTTGATCTGATTATTTTCTGTATATATTATTACATAAAGCAATAAGCAAAAACTCTGTATACCTTTTTATAAAAATTGCGCGGACCGATGAGTGTGAAATTGCGTAAACTTATAGTTTTCATAGAGAAGGATTACGGGTGCTGCTTGTGGGGACTGGTGTATTCAGGTTGCGAACACTGAATTTTTTGTTCTTTGTAGCATATGCTGGTGGTCACTCTATTCTCCCAAATTTGAATTTTAATGACTGTGTATTATTATAAATATGTTCCACTATTATTTGAAAAAAATACGAGCTGAGTTTCTTGTCAATTCTTCTCATCTCGATATCATTCCGAACTGACGGTAGATTTGACATAACGTAAACGACATGGCACGGACGGATGAGTGTGAAGATGAAGTGTGAAATTCCGCAAACTTATAGTTTTCATAGAGAAGGATCTTTGTGATAGCATATGCTGGTGGTCACTCTATTCTCCCAAATTTGAATTTTAGTGACTGTGTATTATTATAAACATGTTCCACTATTATTTGATAAAAAGACGAGCTGAGTTTCTTGTCAGTTCTTCTTCGATATCATTCCGAACTGACGGTAGATTTGACATGTCATAAGAGTCTGTAATAGAGCTACATGAATAAAGATATTATGAATTTGAAAAATTTGAATTACAGAATCCTAATATTTAATTTATACATTAAATCAACAAAAAAAACATTACTAACTATAGTATATTTGTCAAATACAAATATATAGAATCCAAATAATGTTCTAACTTATAATTTAAGTTAGTTAAGGTCGTATTTCGCTACCAGCTAGCATTTATTTATTGTCTAACAATTTTTTCCGTTTATTCAAGTTAGAATATTTATTAATTTCGTAATATTATTCGTTTAACTTACATTTAGATTTACAATAATATTACTCTTTTAATTTTGAAGCGGTCATTATTTATAAGTACAATTAGTAATAATCACGGGATCTTACTGGATTGGGAACTCGGCTAATAAATATAAAACGTGGTAAGATCCCGTGATTTTTACTAATTATACGTATAATATTACTCTTATTCAAATTTTACCGTTTTTACTTGATGATATAATATATATCTACATATAAATAAAATTGGAGTGTCTGTTTGTAATATTGAAATAACCGTTTTTTACTACAAGCATATGAATATACCTAAATACGGTACATAGACCAAAATAACATATTTTGCAATATAACATATTTTGTTCCGGCTAATCTCTGAAATGGCTGGCCCGATTTTAACGGGACTTTTTTAGGCAGGTAGCTAATGTAATAAGGAGTAACTTAGGCTAGTTTTATTTTAGAAAAATAAACTTAAATTCCACGGAGACGAAGTCGCGGGTATAGCTAGTATAAAATAAAGAGTATAAAAAAAGAGCAATATTATTGGTGACTGTCTGTGCGGTGTGTGTATAATAAAAATAGTAAATAGTTCAAAGTATAATTTGATATAATCTTATTTAAGTGGTAAGGATTAATCGAGAAAAATATTGATAAGAAACTTTTGGCATACAGATACATGCTAAAGCACAACTGAGATAAATGTTCGACATCTAATATCGAGTATAAGTTCTCTATTGAGAACACGCCACCTTCTCGTATATCGGTCCCATGATCTCCTTACAAGGAAACATAAAACCATTCCGCAAAGTATCGACCGTGAAACAAACGATTATTGCTCCGTTCACTATTTATTGTATCTATTTGTTTGGATATTGAATGACTGGTAAGAATATTTTAGCAGATATGAAACTTAATAAAGAGAGGATTCATAAAATCGGATTTTAGTTTTTTTATTTTTTCAGCCCAATTCATACAACACCATGTAGTCCCAAGCAAAGCGGAGCTTGTGTTATGGGTACTAGACAACTGATATAAATTCTTTGCTACACTATTTTTATTTGTAAATAAATACATATTATACATAGAAAACACCCAGACCGATACAAACAATCATACTCATGAATACAAATGTTTGTACCGTGCGAGGAATCGAACCCGCGACCAAAGTATAGTAAAGCGTTGTGCTAAACCACTACACCACGGAGGCTGTCTAATTATAATAATTATTTTTTCATTAATAATAATATTACTACACTCGCGAGCAACCAAATCGACTCAGCGCTACATCTGCATTCAAACATTGTTTTAAGTGAAAGTATATAACATTTTAATAAAAATTATATATCATTTGAAAGCATTTTCAAATTTCGTCTGTCTGTCTGTTTGTTCCCGCTAATCTCTGAAATGGCTGAACCAATTATGACGCGACATTTTTTGGCAGGTAACTGATGTAATAAGGAGTAACTTAGGCTACTTTTATTTTAGAAAAATAGGGTTAAATAACACGCGGACGAAGTCGCAGGTACAGCTAGTATATAATAAGAGCGATGCAGACGAAGTAGCACGGGTCATTGCAATTGTTTTTTTATGGTAATTGTATTTCTTTTTAGAGAGGGGCATGTACCTGGGCTCGCCGTGCGACACCACGTGCAACCCCAAGTTGGTGCACGTGTACTGCGAGCCGAGCACGCAATCGTGCCAGTGCGACACCAAACACCCCGTCGCACTCGGCGTCACTAAGGGATGCGCCAAACGTTAGTACTATACCAGTCATAATCTTATTAATATTATTATAAACGCGAAAATTTGTAAGTATGGATGGATGTTTGTTACTCTTTCACGCAAAAACTAAGGAATGGATTGATGAATTTTTGCAGATTTGATGAAACTTTACAGTAACATAGCTTAGCCTCGCTTAAGCATCAGAATAACATATAGACTATAAATTTCATGCGGGTGAAACTACATCAAAATACATAATATGTAGTTCCTTGAATAACAACATAATCCAGCAATAGAAAAACATATTACGCCGACCCCATATAAATGGGATAAGCAAGAAGCAAATGATGATGATGATGAGTAATCATTCAATAATTTAGAAGGACTTCTTTTAACTTTAGCCAAGAAACTCGGAGAGCAGTGTTTCTACCGTCAGACATGCCGAGCCTTCGATGCGCACGCATCTTGTGTGCAGGTCAATCATAATGCATACTGCCAGTGCGACCCTGGCTACCACAGCACAACCCACTCTAGACCCACACAAAGAGTCTTCTGCACCGAAGGTATGTTATGACCTTATAATTGAATCTACATAATAATCAGTCTCTTTTTCTACTGTAATAGTCAACCTTGGGTTTTTGGGAGTTGAATTATAAATAAGTCGAATACTGACCTAATGAAAAGTGGTAGTAGCCTAATATAGATATGAATTTAACTACAGACAACACGTCATCATGAGATGCGGGTGGTAATTCTCGTAAGTTGCTAAGCTGTCAAGCCTCTTTAGTCTAAAATATCATTGTTATCTTTCCTCTCAAACCGGATCACAAAGCATAAAAAACAGCGACTTACAAAGCACTCTGCAAGCCTTTAAGACAGAGGTTTAACAGACCCACATGACCTTGAGGGTAGACACACACTCTAATAGACAACAGCGTATAAAGTCTACTTCGATTAAAACGTGATTCGTTTAATGGTAACTTCAAACCGGATCACAGTTTATAAAGCACACTGCTAGCAGAAATTAATGAGATAGAGGTTTAAAAGATTCACGAGACCTAGAGAGAGAAGACGACAGTTAACAGTCTATTTTGATCGAACATATGAAGCGAACATCGCAGTCCATGAAAGCTTTATATACCCTAGTATAAGCTATGTCACCCACCCATTTTCAGATCTGGTTCTGCTGACGGCGGACATGCCGACGCTGCTGGGCGTAGCGTCGGGAATCTTTGTGCTAGCTGGGTTGCTCTGCATGGTGCTGCATCTATATACCAGGGCGCGATATCACCCCACGCATTTAGCTGATGCCAGGCTTACGCCCCCATGTTTGTACTCGCTCAATGACACAGGTAAGTCCAACTGTAACAGGAGTAAGATATTTCAGAGTAAGTTCTGTTATAGGTTGCGATTAGGCAAGATAATAGCAATAACATCTTAATTCTCCGGAATGGCAACACAAGTCACATGATAACATCATTATGATGTCCATAGTTAGCTATTCATGTACCCTATCATTAGACGCTTACAGTCAGGTGGTCCATCAAGTTGTTTGCCATTCCAACATAAAAATGTATTGAAAAGAGTTTGTTATTGTACGTGCGCAGGTGGAACGGTGAGCGGGACGCGTGCGTCGTCCCGCGCGTCTTCGCGCAGCGGCTGCACGAGCGGCACGCTGGAGCTGGAGTCGTCGGCGTCGCGGCGGGCGTCGCGTCGTGGCGGCGGCGTGGCGGTGTCGGCGTCGCGCGCAGGTGCGGCGCGCACGGCGGCCATCTTGCTAATCTCGCGCCACCTGAAGGCCGTAAGGCGGGACGGCGGCGCGCACCCGCCTAAGTGCGCCGCCAAAGGTGATCTGGATAATGTATGCAGCGCGCGGTCCCATTTCTGCACGTCTCGGTGTTCGGGTGTCGGTGGACGACGCGGCCTCCTACAACGCCCACCTGCCTCTGTTATTCCTACCCCTGATCTCCCAATATATCATCATCGATGGTTATATTGTTCTCTTCAAAGATAATTTCTGTGACGTCGACGCTGACATAGAATTCATCTTTGAAGGTGATTCGAATCTTGATAGTCTTGACAAGTCTTACAAAGCTGACATCACAACAGAAATTGGGTTAGTTACAATCATAATACGTGTCGGTCGTAACGCCAGTAGTGGGACGTTGGGCATTGGAGGATGTCCGCGCGAGCGCATGAGACGTACCGGCGACGCCCGTGTCCGTTAGATGTTGCGTTTTGGTGTTAGCGGCCACGGACAGGCGCTAGTCTGCGACTGCTCGACCACAGTGCGATGTTGAACCAAATATGCTGGAATATCACAATGTAGGCCCTCACTCTTACAAATGACTCAAACTGTCATTATGTCCTTACCCTCCTCCGGAAATTGTTTCTTTCCTCTAAGATTCCTATAGTGCTTCTTATCATTAAGATCCCATTGTCTCTATTTCCATATTTTCTAGAGAAAAATATGTTGCATCACATATTATGATTTAAACCTTTTATTCTTTAAACTAGTTTACTCAGACCTTTACCAAGTAACCTCTATATCATACATCAGTTCCAAGTAGTTCTGCTCCAACTACTGCATTCTATCTCAATATTACCCAAGTAAATTACTTAATACCCAAGTAACTACTTGAATTCTCATGACATACATTCGTATTGTCAGACTTTATAATTTCTTTTAATTGTTAGATATGTTTACGTTCATTTTCTTTCTCTAGAACTGAGACCTGGCATATTTGGGATACATCAACGTAAAACCAGACAGTTTTGATGGTATTCTCTCGTAAGTACGCTTGATGTGTGAGGCTTTACTCGTGGCATTGGCACTCTATCAAGAAACCTTTGGGCTATTGGACAAGTGAGTCGCTTCTATGTGGTGTCAGTCGTATGATCGTGTGCGCTCTTCGCGCGGCGCTAGCAAGATGGCCATGGTCCTCTCATCCTTCTATTTCTTACACAGTCTATTAGTAAATGTTATGAAACTGGTCAAGGTTGCCTTAGCCTGTTCGACTTTCATAATGAGCCTTACAACCTATACCTGGACATTATGAGGTCTGTACAATTAAATTCTTTATTATATTCTTCACTTCACATTTTTTTAGTATTCACATGGCATAGTACCAAATATTTAATTACAATTATTACAGAAAGATCCAAAAAATATGATGAAATAGTTTTTGGTTCTGTGTCTTGAAACTTACATTTGCAATTACTGATATGATTGTTCTGTGAAAACTATAGCATGCTCAACAATGTTACAAAATAGATAATAGTTACGATTATATAATAATTAAAAGCATACCAAGATACTAGAGCTCCGATCAAAATTACATTGCATTGTTTACTTTAGCTTTAACGGAGTAGTTTTTACCATTATCTACCATCCGTCCATCAGTAACCTGTAAAAAGATTGTTTAACAAAAAAAAAGTATTCTTCTTTTTAAAAAAATAAATAAATAGGTAGATTTATTAATATTTCTGAAAGAAACGATAAATAAATAACCGTATTTTTAACGAACCAATGTTTTAGAATCTATCACAAATATTTTTATGTTAACTAAAAACACTAAACGGGGTTCTAAAAAAGTTCATTTCTAAAATTGATCTAACAGATAATTCAACCTATAAGAGACAGATACAGTGTATGAATTAGTTCCAAAACATTACAATATCATACAGATAACGGAATTATTGGTCTTATTCAGACTGACGTCATTATGGCAGCTGACGCCAGATTCCCCTTGATTCATTAATCTTTGCCAATTTACTAAATTTGACAGAGATTCATTGAGATTATTATAAAGCTAGCGATATCCAGTTATGATTCTGAAATCAAATCAAATCAATATAGCTAAGGGGATAATATTGGAGTTCAAAGTTTTGATGGCAAAAAATATTAAGAAAGAAATCCGACTTGATACTTCGTAGTAACTCAACTAACAATAAGTAATACGAATTTCAAGATCAGAGTAGCAGAAGGAAAAACTCTAGCTCGCTAGCCATGTTGCGGGCTAAAATGATTTATAATACTAGTGAATTTAGAGTAAATACAGTAACTGATAGCTTTTCAATGGATTGTAATTGAATGGCGCATCAGTCTGCGCTAACTTACACTGATGGGACACTAGTGGAAGTTTATAAGATGAGCATGAGGTCAGGTCAGTTAGGCCATCGTGACAAATTCACCAGGAATTTATTGCAATGGTTTCCAAAGGGAATCTCGAGGGAGGTCAACCTGACATGGTACATTGCTAGCAATAGGCTCATCTGTCGACATTACTACTAATCCTATTCCCTCTGTTTTTGCTACTACACGAGTTAGACTAAAGAAAACAATGACATCAGTAGCAATAACTGCTATAGTTTCTACAGAAGAACCTCATTAAGAATGGCCAAGGCTTCAGTTTCATGGTTTCAGCACGTACGCTTCACGCTTCGTCAACCTGTCTACTTAGCATTGGCTATGCATGGGGACACAGAAGTAAATGAGGGTAGTTGCAATATTATTATTTAAGATTAGCAATCACAGTAATTAATTGATAAAATAATTGAAATAATATTGAACTAATCAAATTTATCATAAAATCTTTTATAGTCAATCAATTATATCATACTAATAATAAGTTATTCGCAGAACTCAATAAAAATAAAACGTAGTAATTTTTATCTCGTGATTTTTATTAATTACTAGCTATCCACCCCGGCTTCGCCCGGGTGTATATGTATTACACATATAAACCTTCCTCTTGAATCACTCTATCTATTAAAAAACCGCTTCAAAATCCGTTGCGTCGTTTTAAAGATTTAAGCATACACAGGGACGGACAGACAGTGACAGCGATTTTGTTTTATACTATGTAATAATAATGATACTTATAAATCTTAATGAAATTTGTCGTGCCTGAGAAATCCAATAGGCTATCTTTAATTTTTTTAAGCTGTTAATTTAACATTGCAAACGAACAACTCAATTTTAATTATGTGTATAGATAACGCATTGCTAGTGCGTCATTCAGTTCGTTGTCACTGTACTGAAATTCATTTCCAGAATAGTCCAGATCTGATATTTTTTTATCTCAAGCTGGCTATAGGCAGAAACTAATTAATTAATATAGAATTATTCCATTTGGTCCTTACTCATTCACTGACATTTTGAGAAAGAATGCACAATGAAGTTATTAGATATAATAATTTGTTCGTAACTCATGCCATCTTAGAAAAAGAATGCTAAATAAAGATTTATTATTAAACTAAAATATACGACCTTCTTTTATTTCTGTGCAAATTGTGAGCGTTGCCTGTAACTGACCATTCAGCGTAACACTGTAAATATCTACACCATTTTCATAATAATTACTGTATTTAGGTAATACTTATCACTTAGGTACATACTTTCTAAATATACACATTATATTATGTATTTTCGAATGTATAAAAGAAAGTGGCTTCATATTTCTATACACTTACGTTTCATTATTTAATTTAGACTAATTTAATAATAATCACTTTTTGATATTAATGTAAGTCAGTGCTAAAACTTTTTTATTAATATTGTAAAGTTTGAAGTTAACCTATATATGCTTATACACTATATATGTACATATATAATATTTAGATACACTACAAGTTTTTCTATATAAAAGTAAATATAAAAAACATCATACTCTCTCACTAATGCAAGTAAAAACTCAATTCACCAAGCTATGCATCTTCACAAAGTACAGAAGTAGAGCAAAATAGAATATTCTCCATGAGACACATATGCTGATCTTCTCCACAGGTTCGCGACGTCCAAGTATAAGTTCTATGCAGAGCAGCTCATCTTCTATCAGGAGTTATAGCGCTAAGAAGTGGGAGAGAGAGAGGGAGCAGAAGGAAAGGCGGCAAATGAGCATGCGTCTCGCTCAGTTGCACGACAAGATGGCGGCTGGGCGGGAAATTCCGAAGCATGCACCGACGCCGTCGCCTCGCTCGCCGAACAACTCCACAGATGGGCTGCTGCCTTCTGTATGTGAAATTAGAGAAGTAAGATCATCATCGAACCTTTCCTTCTTACTATTTACTCAATTCATAGCAATGGAACTCTTGCCACTTCCCACGATCTTCCATCATTCTCTTTATATGTTGATATGCCACATTACCAATTTCGTCCTTAATATACAAGTATCTTTTTATACGTGGGGAATATCTCTCATGGAGACTCCGTCACAAAGGTTTTTGTTTTAAAATTGTTCAAAATTGATAATGAAATGGTGCACCACCCGTCTGTGATAAAGGTTTACGCTGACAAAGTACCAGTGGAGTTTGATAATAGGAGATGAGGTTAGGTCAGTTAGCCCATCGTAACAAATTTGCCAGAACTTTTTCACGATGATTTCCAGGGGCAATTGCGTGGCTAAACATTGCTAGTAATGGGTTGGGTTAATTTACTAACAATTCCTTTCCTCCTACCCCTCACAGAGGTTGCACGGACGAGTACTGTGACACTTCTATTCACTTAAAACGCCATAGCATTCCTTCGCACCGCCATAGTGCCCGGCACTAGTCGCGAGGTCGTCTTAGCAATCCGCGACCCCACCTCGATCGACTCAATCGACTCCTGTTGTATGGACGGCTGACTTGAACCTAATATCTTAATAATATTATAAAAGCGAAAGTTTGTAAGTAAGGATGTTTATTACTCTTTAACGCAAAAACTACTGAACGGATTTTGATGAAATATTACAGTAATGTAGCTTATGTGTCAGAATAAAACATGTGCTATATTTTATATTGAAATTTAACGCGGGTGAAACCAGCTAGTATACCCAGAGATCAAAAGGATTTCGCCACAAAGATAGCGACAGATATTACTTTACTATAAAAAAAAATATATATATATCACCATTATTTTTTTATACAATCAACAACTGTATTTCATCACATTGCAAATACTATCTTATTAATATGATAGATGCGAAAGTTTGTGAGTATGAATGGATATTTTGATGAAACTTTACAGCAATATAGGTTATGCATCAGAATAACACATAGGCTATAAATTTCATGCAGGTGAAACCGCGGGTAGATACTAGAAAGATACTATTATTTACCTTATGATACTATCATCAACGGACTTATCTATAAACATATTATCTACCTGCACTAATGGGTATTTTAGAGCGCCAATTTTGTAAACATGTCGTATATACCTATTACCATAGCACCTGGTACACCTATATACCTGCACCATAGCACACCATAGGAAATTCAGTGCCACACCCTGAAACTTAAGTGCTCTCAGACAGTGCGGTTTCAGAGGAGTTTCCTCATGCGTGCACTTAGATTGTTAATGAACTACAGCCGAAGTTTTCTCTAAAGCCTATATCAAGGGGTTTTTCAACAAGGGTATATTAAGGTTTGTTAAGGGTTGATAATGCGCACGTGACACCCCTGGTATTTTCACAGACTAAAGTCGTATCCGTCAGACAGAAGTTAGCTTTGAACCCCTCCATAAGTCCTACCGGGGGTTTAGAGTGCCTTCTGCTCTCGCCCTCTATCGTTCGTGGAAGCTGTAAAGGTCATAGAGAACGATGGTAGCGGATTCGATTCCTCGCACAGTACAAACATTTGTATTCATGAGTATGATCATTTGTATTGATCTGAGTGTTTTCTATGTAGGTATATTATGCATGTATTTACTATATACATATGTACATACATCTATCAGTTGTCTAGTACCCATAACACAAATTCTGCTTTGTTTCGGACTAAATAGCGCTATGTGAATTGCCCAAAAATATTATCTATACATCTATATATATAAATAAAATTGGAGTGTCTGTTTGTAATATTGAAATAACCGTTCTTTACTACATGCATATGATTATAAATACGGTACATATACCAAAGTAATATTTTTTACAATTTTTGTCTGTCTGTCTGTTTGTTCCGGCTAATCTCTGAAATGGCTGGACCAATTTTAACTGGACTTTTATCGTCAGGCAGCTGATGTAATAAGGAGTAACTTAAATTAAATTAAATTATAACACTTTATTGCACCAACATATAAAGGACATGAACAAATTAAGAACAAAAAAAAAAACTAAGTACAAAAGGCGGTCTTATCGCTAATGCAATCTCTTACAGACAACCTTTGGAAAGAGAGTATTTACAAAAAAAAAAATAGAGTAGGTGGCGCATTAGTGGAAACATAAAAATTATATACACTTATGTAAATAAAATATAGTACATACACAAATTTACATATATATACATACATACGAATACACAATAATATAATATAATAATATAGTATACATCAAATAATTATACATAATCAAATATTACACATATAAACCAGAAAAAAATAAAATAAAATAAATATATCATACTAGTTAAAAAGTCACAGGTAACAGTGTAGAAGAAGGAAACATATTTACAAAGAGAGAAAATAGGATTTGACTAGATGCTTAAAAATGGCTGGGGACTGAGCATTACGAACGGAGGGCGGCAGCGAGTTCCACAAACGCACCGCCTGTACAGTGAAGGATTTTGTGTAGTAGCTTAAGCTACTTTTATTTTAGAAAAGTAAAGTTAAATGCGACGGGTATAAAGACGCGGGTGCAGCTAGTTATTAATAAAATTGATGGTTGTTAAATTGCAGCTTGCGTCGAATCCAGATCAACAGCTGCAGGGCGTTGACGGGCCTTGTTCCAGCTCGTCCCTTTACTGACAGCACGCTCACCCGAAGACGCGTCGGTCTCTAGACTCCCTCGCCACTGATGGTGTGCCAACCATCGCCTGGATGTAACCGCTCCGACAGATCTTCAGATCAACTGCATCCAACTCTAGGACTACCCAAGTGCATTTGTGTAACTTATATTGTTGAGTTTGGACCATCGAAGTGATCTTCGAATATATCTTAAGACTTTACGAGTGAATTTTGAACCCCCGTTCAAAAACTCCATAACGATGAATAATTAGTCTATAGTTTGAGTCCCACGGACTTAGGTTGAACGCTTCGTGCTTTTAGCGTAAAGTTAATTAATATTAGAACGAGAGACAACGTTGATATATGCTTCAAATAATTTTCGTGTCGACATTGGTATTGGAAAAGGAATGCTGTCAATTTTTGCCAAGCTATTATATACCTTAAAGCTCTTTTATTTAGACAAATTTTTAACTATCCAGCTTCATTATTATGACTTCATAATTCAAGACTGTATAGACACTGATTTAAATAAAACACGACCTTCAAATAATTCAGATAGAATCTATTTTGTCAGCACGAAACTTGAAATGTGTTGTTTCAAATTATATATACTTGTAAACTGTTATACTAGTATTTAATGTATTTATTTATATGTGTATAATTAAATTATTGCTTTTATATTTTTTTCTGATTATTATAAATACATACAGGTTCACGATCTTCATTTAGTATTTAATTGCAAATTACCAAAATTAATCTGACTTCTTTTTTTAATTATGGAAAAAATATTATACTCTGCCATCTTTCCTTCTGTCGTCATTCTCCTATTTCGTGTTCTAATATAAATTGTTATAACTTATATCTGAGATAATTTTATCTTGACAAACAGTGTATTATCACAATGTTTTAGTTGAAATTGTGCAACGTTAAGACTCTGGCAAATAAACTCAAGCCTATATTAGACGAATGCGCGAATTCCGTTGCCTTGCTATTACAAGATATAAAAAAATCACTTAATAATGATGGTCCCACAGAGCAATTTATACTACTCCATATTATAAACATTTGAAATATAAAAAATAAAAGAAAACAACAGAAGCAACTGAAAAGAGACCGGATCTACAGTCACTACTATAAATATATAATTTCCTTATTGAGATTTTGTAAAAATCCCTATTTTAGGAAGATATATGGCAATTTAAAATACAAAAAAAAAGAAAAGTAGCAATTAAAAAGAGACAAGATCAACAGTCACTACTATAAACATTGACTTTCCTTATTGAGAGTTTGTAAAAACCAATATCTTAAGGAGATATATGGCAACATTTGAGGGGGGAAATGTTATCACTTGTTAACTCAGGCTAAAGACTTATATCCAGAGCCGTATAACATATCGATTAAAAAAAAAAGGAAATGTTATCTGGCAACACTTTAACCGTGACGTTAATAACAATGGTGCCGTGTGCAGTAGAAAACTCCAGTCCAGGTGAATAAATAGATATGTCGACTCGACAGTTGCGGGGTATTAATAAAGTCCAGCAATTATTTATATGAAACGGCCAACTCTGTCTTTCAAACACTTGGAAAATGTATTGCATACTAGCAGCTAACCGCGATTTCGTTTGCGTGGAAATAGACTTTTTATTATTATTATCTACTACATATAAATAAAATTGGAGTGCCTGTTTGTAATATTGAAATAACCGTTTTTTACTACATGCATATGAATATAAATACGTTACATATACCAAAATGACATTTATTACAAATTTTATAATTATGTCTGTCTGTTTGTCTGTTTGTAACGACTACTCTCTGAAATGGCTGGACCGATTTTGACGGGACTTTTTTTTGGCAGGTAGCTGATGTAATAAGGGGTAACTTAGGCTACTTTTATTTTAGAAATATTCTTTTTAGACAAATAAAGTTAAATTCCACGCGGACGAAGTCGCGGATACAGCTAGTTATAAATGGGTTTGCGCTTGGTCTTACCTCATCTGATTATAAATGATAGCAAGACCTAGGATGTAGAGCACTTGCCCAGAAGAAATCTGTTCACTATAGTAGTATTTCTCCGGGAACACAATAACTGGAAGAGTTAGGTTTTATCATTAAAATTTAAATTAAATCTAAAATAATAGTACCTAACCCAAGTTACGATTATAATATTAGCTATCTGTAAAAGTCCCGTTAAAATCTGTCCAGCCCGATCGTTTTAGAGATTAGCAAGTACTAACAGACAGACGGACAAAAATTAAAAAAAAAATTTTGTAAGTACCGTATATACTTCTACCGTCATACGTTTAATGAAAAGCTGTTAATTTGAAATTACAAACGGACACTTGCAATTTTATATATTTGTGTAGATTGTAAAATACGATGTGCTGTGATGCTCACCTTGACTGACTTGGGAGATAACTATGTCATATCCTTCAGCCCCGGTTTAGCCTACTAACAAGAGCATTAAACTAAACACGATAAAATCATAAAGATAAAATACTTTTTTAATTTGTCAAAGCCCAAACGAAGTATAAAATTTGTCATTATGAGAGCTGTTTTTTTTAATTCACACTTAAAAACCGAGACCAAAGGCCTCTTGTAATAATGCTACAGGCCCCGAGCCGGTTTAAGTCTGCACTAATACCCTTGCAGTAAAAGCAATATTTTTGAAAAGCATAGCTTAATGTAGTTATTTCAAAATTAATACTTCTTTTTATAGTCTCAGGTATGGGAAACGGGTCACCTCTGACTCGTAAATGGAAGATTTGGTCGTGATTTAGTGTTGGGAAAATCCATTATGATTTTATTCCTTTTTAAACGATTTCCTTATCAATATAATTTACAATACCTCTTCGAACCTAATATTAAAGATTCCAATTCTAAAGCTGGATACTATACTCATGAAATTGAAACTCTTTTACAAAGTAACAAAGTCGAAATCTAAAAACATCATTTAGAATTTTCATATTAAAATAAAGATTATAAAAAAAAATTCAAATACTGACTCGTCCCGGCTTCGTCGGGTGCAAATAACTGTGTGAAATTATTTTATTAATTGATTTATATTTATATAATATATCTATAATTATTTATGTATTAAATATTTTACAAATCTATCTACTAAAACTTCTGTCAGAAATATGCTTAATTTATATTTTATTCTTTAACTTTTGTATTAAAGCCTACCTATAATGATTCTGTTTAAATATTTTTCAACACACTTGCTCGTAAAGTGGATATTATTTCACCTGTTTTCGATACATAAAGCAACTCAACACGCGTGCTTTATAAACGCAAATAGTGAAGTTATATTCCATAACAACACTATTTGCAATTTTTTTTTTTTCAAATTTCGAACCGAACGCCGCTGGGTTCAAGCCAGTACGCAGCACGCTGATTTAAAAAATAAAACGGCGGGAAAGCAACAGTATCTTCAGCCGGTAAAGCAGTGCGCTGATTTAAAAAAATAAAACGGCGGGAAACAATATTGTGCATCACAGTTTTATGGTTGAGTTTATTTAAAATTAAGTGTGTTGAAAAACGTCGTACGATATACGTGCGTATATAACACGTTATATATACGTATATAACACTATTACGCCTATAAATCTATATCTGAAATTACGCCTCGTGTGTTATAACTATCATAACGCACTTATATCGCAATATACAGGAATGCACATAGATTTCTTTTATTCGTTAATTTTATCATTAAAGTCTAATACATATAATGATTCTATAACATATAAGTATGATTATAACCTATTAAATAAAATAAGAGATGAATCCCTAAGAGCTTTTATCTATTTAAAACTGAGCACTGAATGTAAGAGAAATGTGAATAACACATTGTATCGAACAATGATAATGATTGTATTGTAATTAATACTTAGAAATGCATCAAGGAAGTAAAGTCTGATAATGGAGTTAAATAGGCTACTATTTAGAATAGATGATAGTAATATACCTAGTAACATTGTGTAATCCAACGGGAATTATACAAGCAATTTAATATAGGGGGCCATTCATTAATCACGTGATCTTTTTTTAGCATTTTATAACCCGCTCCCCTCCCCCTGCGGTTTAGGACCCCCCCCCCTGACTTCACGTGTATTTTTAGTGCCTACAAAGGTTTTTTTTTGTATCTTTAAATATAGGTATAAACTATAATCTTATTTTATTCTGAAATTAAGGATCATGATTGAAATGTCCAGACTAGGCTGTAGGTTAGTTTTGATTGCCATAAAAATAGAATAAATAAATACACGTGATATACTACTACACTCCCCGTCCCCCCTTGTGATGTTTTCGTGCTTTTTGTCAAACCCCTCCCCCTACTTTCAACCCTCACGTGATTAATGGACAATCCCATAGGCCTGTAAAAACATATCGTTTAAGTAATGACCGTACGTTCCGCTTTGGGCGGGACAGTACCAGTTTGTCTGTCCCGTTTTCCCAAATAGAACAGAAACATCCCATATTTGCAAACCAACATATTTGCTGAGCGATCCTGGGGCCAGGTCCAGATCTGCCATTGAATACTGATTTGATTGATTGATTCCCTCCCTGAGGCAGAAGAAAAACTAATTTGTCTCTACTCGAGTCAGTAGGAAATCTTTTTGTTTTTGCTCCACACGTTTCCTACATTGTGAAAAACTTATTTTACATACATATCTACATATATAATTGATGGCCTCGGTGATCTAGCGGTTTAGCACACCGCTTTTCTTTCAATGTTCGCGGGTTCAATTCCTCGCACGGTACATTTGTATTCATGAATATAATTGTTTGTATCATTCTGAGTATTTCTTTTGACTATTATGTATGTATTTACAAAAAAATATGTATGTATTTATATCAGTTGTCTAGTACCTATAACACAAGCACTCCTTGACTTGGGAGTAGATTTGCTTGAGGGAATTGGTCGGGTTACGAACACTGATTACACTATTTGCTTTTGATAAAATTACAATACAACACTGGTGGTCACTCTATTCTCCCAAATTTGAATTTTAAAATGAATCTGTATAATCAATACATATTTGAAAAGAATACGAGCTGAGTATCTTGTCAGTTCTTCTCATCTCGAAAGCATTCCGAACTGCCGGTAGATTTGGCATATCATAAATCTGTAATAGACCTACATGAATAATGA